ACAAACTCCTCTACGGTGCAGAAACCTTACTCTTCAAATCTGGAAGATAGAGATAAGCGGTATTGGAACCTGACCCAAGCTTCGAATAAAGTGGTAAGGTGGGGAGAGGAAACCGACAGGCGACTATTATTGGTTCCCCTCGTAATTCAGCGATGAGTTTTTCTTCCAATGGCTTCATCTGAAATAGTAAATATAGAACAACTAAGCAACATGTTAGGTCAGTCAGTTGCATATAAGGGAAACATTTACCAGAATTCTTAGCCAAAAGAAATGCATTAACTAAAACAAAATCATGTATATTTAAAAGAAATTACAACAAAGCATTATAGTGTTTTAAATAAAATAACCGCAATTGATATCGCCTAAAGTCCTAATTCTGCCACACCCAGACACCAGAACATGGAACAACCCAATTTTGCACTTTCAATGAGAAGGAACTCAGAAATTAGTTTCATCTGAGTTTTTGTTGTTCTGGCACTACAGTTAGTGCCTTTATCCACGTGATTAAATGTAAAGATAGTAGTCCACCAGGTTAAGATCTGTGAACTCGGAGGCCAAGCACACAATGAGGCTGGTGAAGGCGCAAAAGGTAGTTGATAACCAATGCCGGCTTGCCTAAGGTGTGGCAGGAGACCAAATCCTCCTCACATACATGTTGCCTATTATTGATTGCCCATTACCAAGGTACTGTCTACTGAAGTGGTCAGTATATTTCCACGTAGATGTTGCAGTCCGAACCAAACTCCTCTTGGAATGTTTCGACGCCATTACATTAACCTCGGTGGTGTGGCAAATTTATTCGGTACGATTTGATGAGTGTCGATTGCACTATAATCAAACCAGTCCATCTCTTCTCCTGTGTGTTGCGTTTTCGACCTCCACAGATCGTAGATAGAATAGAGCCAGGAGAATAGGTTCAGGTATGGCATCATTTCATTTTTGGATCCAATTTGTAAATTGTTCACATAAGATACTCCATTTTAAGTAGTGAAGTTTGTTCTCTGAGCACTCCAGTGACTTCGTTTTCATGATATCTAGAGCTGACAAATTTGGTCTTTTCAGTTCTGTGGCAGTTGAAACACGCACGCACACATCCACGTGCAACATTTGGGTTCTTAATTCTAAGCCACAAGTTAAGTGTCAATCTCATCTTAAAGAAATTCTTGCCAGCGATCCCTCTATTCAAGGGTGTGAGAGCACATCATTCCATCAGCGTGATTGAGATTTGTTGTAATAATTCTGTGGGTATTATTTTGACTTCATATGAACTTCAACTTCTATTGTAGGCTGTGTCTGCTTTTTGGTGCTGTGTATCTCATTCCTATCTCACCCCGAATTGAATCTGCCTTGGGATGAGATTCTCGTCATATCCGCCTTCTATGACAATGACAATCCATCTCTTGTTCTTCGTGATAAAATTTTGTCCAAGTTTGGCACAAGTTTTTGGAAACTGACAAAAAACTGGTTATTCATGCTTCATTTGGCTCAGAAGCTTCGTTTCCATTGTCAGGCTATTTTCGTGTGTCTATTCTGTGAGAAATTGACCTCCACGATTCTAGTATGAGCCTGGAATGATGAAAGTCTGTGTTGAGTGTAAATTAATCGTGGTGACAAAGTCAGGGTCCCCCAACACTTTAATCTGCAGGTTTACGAGCTCAATCACCCACGAAATCGTCCTTTGTACTGCTTTCTTTTAGTCACCGCAGCCTCGTAGTCTCCATGACGATTGTCCACTTCATGCCGCATTTTTTTTAAAGTGCTCAGGGAGCAATGCGCAACGATAGAGGAAAATTTTCTTCCGTGCTCCGAATGATTACCAATTATCCAGTCACACAAACGAATGAAGGTTTTAAACTTATAAAGGAAATGTAATACACATTAACACATCTGGGACAAACAACCAAATGTCATACTTCAAAATTCACCCCGCAAAAAAGGATGCGCACAGAAGCTTCTTTAAAAAATACGTTTTTAAACTAGGCTAGATTATGGCTTACGAGACAGTACGGTAAACACTTCGAGAAACATTAAAATCTCTACTTACTTATCTGAAATTTCGCTTATTTATTTGCCAGTAAAATCGAATAACCACTAGGCACTATTAAATCGATAAGCCCTAAAATACCAATCTTTTTCATGAATTTCAGATAACAATTCAACTAGATTCCATAAAAGCAAAACTCATAATAAGCAGCCAAAGCGGAAAATTAGGTAAGGTCAATATTTGAACGGTCCTACCAACAAGTTCAGCAGCATACTGATTGAGCAAACTGTGCTTGGATAAAAGGAAATTAGGAAAATAGTTTTTGGATATGCAATTGGAACAAAGAAGACTCGACTCTAGAAGGTGAAAAATTACTTGGTTTTTTGAGAACAGACTGCGTGATTTTGTGAATGCGTCAATCTAAAGTCCTCCTATTTTGACAGAACGTCGGCTCCTCTTAAGTTGACTCCACGGAAAAGCACAGGAAAGATAAGGTCCATTGTAAGCAACTGGTAACAAAGGCTTGCCGTGAGGGTAGCACGTCACCACACACCTTAAACTGTATTTCTGGGTAAAATTCATCATTGCAAACCCCATCTAAATTCACCCAAGCGGTTGCCCATGGCATTGGAATTAAGTTTACTACTACAATCACGCGTGTCATTATGCATTAACTATTGATCAAATTACAACTACCGACACCTTATTGGTCTTCACACTCAATTTTTACTATATAAAATCCAGCTTAGAGTTCATGCCCACTACATTTATACGCACAGCGTAATTGACGTATTTAGACCATGGTGTAGTTTTTAATTTTAATCCAGTAAATTACTTGGTAGCTATCTTGTGATTGCCAATTAGGTTTTAGCTAGTAAAATCCAAAACAATTGAAGGCTATGACATCGATAAAATCCAGTCTTGGAGAAAAAGATGCTGAACTGTTGAAAGTGACAGGCTAGGTTTAAAGAGAGCGGTGGCGACCTATTATACTAGACATGGCCACTCTCCTTGCCATTTAACGCTTTTATTCGAACGAATTTATTTGCAATTGTTGCATACGTGGATCTATGGATGTAAAAAGGTGCATTCTGTTTGAGTGTGGTGGGAGTATATTTGTGCGATTAGTGCATTGAGGGAGCTAAGAGTCAATTGGGATGTCCTACAGAGATGAGTAGATCACAACACAAAATATTTCAGTGCAATGTGAATTTCAATTACCTTGAAATGTTAGAGTACCACTAGAATTGGATAAGGATGATGTAAGATAGATGCTGATAATGCAAACTTGAGGCACCAAAAGTGAGATAATTGGTTGGATAAATCTAAATATATTATTTAAATAGGAGGTAATGAAGACCTCGAAATCGTTGACACTGACATGATAGACAAGCACGTTGTCGGTCTATCCTGATCAATCGGCGTGAATGGGTTGTCAGAATGACTAACTATATTAATTTACAATGTAGTACTAAAACCCGAAGTATAGTTTTCAAGAGAACGACTCTTTGACGAGTACGGGTTTCGAAAAATTCATCCCTTCATCGTGCTCGACGCATTGAAATTCCGTTGGAAAGAATAGCAACTTACCATAGTATCAACGCCAAATACTACGATCGTTTGAAACGGAGTGAGATTGTATTTCCAGAGATTCCGACAGTGGAATCTGGATCGCTTGTTAAGCCCACTTTTCCACGCAGAAAGTCGAGACCACCAGACCAGAGGTCGATTCAGTTCCACCCCTGAAGCAGACTCTAAACTTTTCAGCTCTTTGTCTCCAAGAAGACTCAACACCTAGATATAATAAGGGAGATAGGATTATAATTTAAAATTAAGATGATAAAACCATCATCAGAAGTTATTTAAGCGAATTTACTTTATTTAAATTCATTCAAAATTTATATATTTTTTAGAAAATTTCAATTTCACACGCGTTAAGCTACTTTAAGTTTTTTAATATAAGTTCATTTCCGCAAGTATCAAAAAAAAGAATTAGAAATTGAAATTTCGCAAAAGACGTTATTAATTAACCTATTATCACTCGTGAATTAGGTACAGCTTCACGCTTGTTAAGTGGAAAAAGGCTTGTGGGACACGTTATCGCTGTGTGCGTCATCGTATGCCTGCATGTCTGCTCGCCGTGTGATAAGTCTATTTCCTCTATAGCTTTGCGGTAGCTTAGCTGGTTCTGGGAGTCTTTCCAAACATAGTAGAATCTGTCATAGAGATTCCTGAGTATAATTAAGGCTTATTAGTGCAGCAATCCGTTACAAAGGGAAGTACTTGAAAACTCACCACTCTACCATCTCCGCTTCCGATATCGATTAGTTTCCCAATGTGTCTGCTACCATGGTTTTCCGCGAGACGCAATAACTTTGAAACGTTACTGAGTTGCTTTGTGGTAGCTGGTACGTAAGGTATACATACATTTCTAAATGCAGGGCCTATAAACGGTGCTAGGAAGTAGATCAAAGAAGTTGTTATTGTGCCGACGGCACAGGTCACTACTAGACGCGAAGAGGGTGATGACTTCGATACTGAAGGTGTTGATTCATCGAGCCAATTTGTCTCAGCTGTAGTACCACTCTGTTGAGAAAAAAGAATGAATTCGAATAAATGAAGTAAAAGCAATGGATCTAAAAATGGGAACTTCAGCATACAACTAAAAGTCATAAAAATGAAAGCAGATTAGATGAAACCGCAACAGAATGAAGGTTCAATAGAAGCTTTCCCCCCAGAGGGTCTAATATGAGGTTCATATCTCATTTTAATTAAAGCCTTATAAAATCCACTTCCAAGTAAAAGACCAAAGACGACTATAATTAGTGGTATAAACACGAAAAAGACAAAACCACTTGCCTCCAAAGAGAATAGACAAATTATACTTTCAATGGTTTGGAAGAAAAAAATAAATAATTCAATAACACTAAAAAGGGATTCTATATTTCACACAAAAGCACAACACAAAAATGGCAAAAGACAAATTCATTATTACAAATTTACTAAGTTTGCCGAACTCCCAAAACATCATTTACATTAAAACACAGAACAAAATTGAGGGAGAGGGGGATGATTTTACTCCTTTTTGGAGATTTGAACATCAATTGCTGCCATTCTTTCAAGAATCGGAGGGTGTGAGTGATTGCACATTGAAAAGAGCCAATCATATACAGGGAAAGAGAGATTATCCTTAGTGAGGACAAGAAGAGCTCCTTTCAATTTCTCCCCGAAGTTGAGACCGACGGCAAAAGCGTCTGCCTGGAATTCGAATCTTCTTGAGAGCATAGTCAATAGGAATTCGACAACAGTGCTGTAAGGCATAAATATTAACTGAAAGACAACAACAAGGCGAATAAATATCGGTGCTGTGGATGGTGGGAATCCGAAACCAATAAAGAGTTTATCAATATTCATCATTTGGCCAAAGGCAAAGAACATGAAGAACAGATTAAGTTGAGCGATAATTAGATAGTAGGTAACATGGTTACACTTCCAATGCCCCATTTCGTGTCCAAGAACAGCCAGAATTTCTTCATCATCCTCGCAACCTCGATTGAGAGTTTCATCCTCATCAGTATTCTCTTCCTCCTCATTTTTCGGATCCTTTTCTGAAGTGGGCATTTTAAATCCCTTAATTAGAGTATCAAAGAGTACAATCCTCTTATTGTTTCCAAAGCCATAGAAATAGGCATTACTATGAGAACTGCGCTTTGAGCCCTCTACAACGAACAGCTTTTTTAAAGGGAAACCGATTCTAGCAGCCAGACTTTCAATTTTGGTTCTCAAATCACAATCTGGAAAGCGTTCATATCGATCGAAAATTGGGGCAATGAATTCGGGGTATATGAACATAAAGATCATTGAGACAACAAAGCTGAAAGAGTACGCGTAAATGTAGAAATATTGACCTCCAGCTTGGATTATCCAAATTAAAGCGGAAATAACGGGCATGAAAATAACAAGACTAACGATAAGAGATTTAATTCGATCTTTGATAAAGAATCCCAAAGTCTGTTTGTTGAATCCGTAACGTTCTTCAATGATAAAATTGCGATAGTAACTCCAAGGAAGTGACTCAAAGAATCGAAAGATGGAACCATAAACAATGAAGACCAGCGAGAATAAAATGTCGCTATCTTTTGTGGCGCCCAGAGTATGGGAGAAATAAGCATCAAGACGAAGTAAGTGGTCTTTAGAAAAATTCCAAGCCCACGCTATAAGTCCGAAATGCAGGATGATCGACATTGAAATTATGTTATAAAAGGAACTGACAACTTCAAAGTTCATTTTTTCAATGCTATAGCGTCGAGATTTATCAAAGTCTTCATCACTCATTATTTTCTCAATTTGTTGGGGTCGCTTAGTTGTCTTCTTGGCTAGTGAAATTTGTCGCAGATTAAGATATGTTTCCCAACAAAAGAGAAGCCAGACAAATGTAATTATCGCATTATAGCAGGAGAAGGAATATCCATAAAAAGTAAAGGTATCATCAAGCACCATATTGAAACGGACGACTGGTACACCTAAGACGTGCCAACAGAACTCGTGGTGTTTTTACTGGCTGAATTGAATTAGAAACTAAATCGTGTAAAATAAAGGTCAATATTTTACTAATTAGTTTTAATTTATTTTAAGTTAATTTGAATTTATTGGAAGATCAATATATGTTTTGAGTTTAATTTTCTGACATCAAATTAGATTTTCATTTATTTCTTTATATGATGAAAATTGTCTTGTCAAAATGATTTCTTGATTTACTAAGTCCAAAAAAAATTAAACACCGAAAGAGAGTAATTGTTACATAAATAAAATATTAAGGTTTGGGATCCAACCCAAAGTTAAAATTAAGCCCCAAAGACATTTTAAGCATTTATCACTCAGCATATAAACCTGTATATTATGCCGATAATCTACTTTAGCTGCTAATTTACCAGTATATTCTCATAGAATAAAGGTAAATCACTCTCGGGCTCAGCAAAGGTACATTAGGGGACGACTGGAAATATTATTTGTAACTCATTAAGCCTTAAACGATAATTGGTATAACTATAGGTTTTTATTCTTAAAAGCGGTGATTAGAAATTACAATATCATGTATAGGCTATTCTAGTCGAAATCACACAAATTATGTTACTGATCAATATCTAAGCACAGTATTTTCATTTGAAAAAGCATACTTTCTTATTTTTCTATTTTGCACATTTCTCTTGATTGAAAATACACTTAGTTGACTCTGATTTAATTTCAGCATATCAACTATTCACCAATCTCACATAAGCATCAATTAAAATTTTTGTCATCTCTATTTGGGTATTTTAATGGAGGTAGCACGTCCCACCTTCCCGTCTGTCTGAATGCGCATTAGATTACTTTACTCAGCGTGACAACGCGTAACACAATACGCCCCCTCTAGACCATTCATAGAAAGCTAAAAGATAAAAAAATCTTGAAAATTAGTTAATGTATATAAACAGTTAGACGGTAAGGGAATGGATAATATTTCCAGTCATCCCCTAATGTACCTTTGCTGAGCCTGAGAGTGATTGAGATTTTCATACAACCATAGCCTCTTCTTCCTCGATGACTACAATAGCTTGTTAGCGTTGAGTCTCCTCCCGAGTGTCGTTTTGGATTAGCTAGACGGTTACTTTTTATGTTTGTTGGTTTGCAGTTTAGTAGACGATGATGGAGCTTGGGAAAACCTTCAAAAGTTGACTGGGGCAATCTCTGTAGTATTGTAGTTTGTTCTCTACTCTTTTTGGTATAGTTGCAAAGCTTAGAAGCCAACAACGGATTGGCATAGTTCTGGTAATGTCGTCCTCTTGCGAGCCTCCACAGTAGAGGCTAATGTTTAAGGTTTCTGTGTTGGGTAAACGTATTTGGCGTAAAAGTTGAGAGGGAGTGCGATCCTCATGTTCGACTTGTGAAAAGAGTTGGTATAGCCGTTCCTCTTGGGAAACAGATAGACAACTAATAGCAGCTATTTTGAGCACGTCGTAGAGTTGTTCTATGGTGACATGAAAACAATGCCTGTAACCTGTAATGCGACGTTGTTTGGTAGGGCGACAATAGATAGCTGAAATAGCTCTCCCCGTTTGGAAACGCCTCGTAGTTTGAGCGTGCTTTCTTATTGTAAGAACCAAATATGAGGTCACTCTGGGCAGAAGGAAAGATCTGTTTCCGAAGAAATTCTGGGGGAACGGGAGCGGACGAAAGAAGAGTTGAGGAAATGGTGATTGTTCAGGGAGTAAAGGGATCACCAAGCGATCACAGTGTCAGGGAGAGATTGTGTCTCGGCTGAACTGATCAGTCAGACTTAGGAGACCACGTCATGGCCTGAGATTCTCTTAAAAAGTTGAATAAATAAATTCCTTATATACTTGTCTCCCTACTTACTTAAATAGAGTTAGTTTATTGAGAATTATTCGTGGAATTTATTTGTGCTCTTATAACTGTCAGTATCAAATAAAATTTAAATAAATCCATCCTCTCATAATCACGGAATGAATTAGTAACAGGGCAGACACTCGCAACCTTATTTCCACAAGGTATAATAAAATTATGCAAATTCACAGTTTAAATTTTTGCAATCCACTGTTTATTCGACGGATTACAGCAATCATAACATGATTAAACAGCTCGTGCGAGCATTCTGGTGAGTGCTGTCGTGCGTGCAGTGGATTTCCCCGCTAGTCAGCTATTTATTTTCATTCAAGCAAAGTAAAGCGTGTTCCATTGCGAATTATGTCTGCTGCACCACTAGCTACTGGTGCAGATCAGATAATTTTAGGAATAATTTTATTATTGAGAATTTTGGCGGAGAAAATTGTTATCCCCCCCCCACACCCCTCCTCCCTCCCTTCCAAATAAATCACCTTTGTGCTGTATTAGGAATTTCTTCTGTATTTATACTCTCTCTCTCACTGTCTCTTTACCCCTTAAATCAACATTTACTTATTCATGAGAGCTCGATGATGAGGCTTCTTAAATGGCCACCAATCAGTTGTCTGCATGAACATGGTCCATCGTTGTAGTCCCCGTGTCAGTGAGCGGCAGAAGCAAAAATTCAGAAATATAGAAAAATTTCAGAAATACGCAAAATTCTTCATCACTGGAATGTAGAGAAAATGTGTTTTTATAGTACAGATCAATAAAATGAGGTGGAGTATTTTATTTCCACCACCTTGATCTGACGTTCAGGCAAACTCGAGAAGAATTTAAGGGTTAAATGAGTTAAAAGTCCTAGTTCAAACTCTTCGTCGAGCTTTTAAGAATCCCCCTACTTTTGTACACTTTCCCATCAAATGTATAATCTAATCAGCTTACCAGCTTTATGGAATTCTCCATTCATCAAATAACTATAAGGTCAGGATATATCATAATCAGATATTGATTAGTTAGGGACATGCCTAGCTTTAACGCACAACAATCCTCTTAAAAAGTGCACTAACCTTTCCCTCTAGGCTTTTATCAAAAAAATCTCATTTTATTTTCATGAGCACAACATTGGACCTTCTATTGTGACATTTTAACAGTTGGCAAAACCAATGAAGCATGTATAACTCTTATTTAACATTTCAAGATCATCCTTATATTCTGTGCACCAATGAAATATATTCATTGAAGGGCTAATTTACAAATTTAGTACAAAGATAAGCAAATTAAAATGAGGAGTGGATTTATTATAGCGTGAACTAAAGCAAAAGTCATCATCATCATCAATGGGTACAAAAAAGGGGAAAGGTCTCTTGTCTAAAAGTAATAAACTCAATATCTATAAGACATTATGAAAAGTGCAGTCTTTTCTCGAACGACGGTACGCCGCAATCTCAAGAATGCTGTTCAGGTGTACTAAGGCAGCCACCACCACAAAGACGTGGAAAATCTGATGACTTTGAAACTACAAAAAAAGTGAAGATCGGGTTAAATGAGGAGACAGAGATGACAGATTGAGGCAAGTAGGGAAGTCGATAAGATCTCACCCAAATATCAAACTTTCCAGGGAAAAAGCGCTCAGGAGTTCGAGTGGCGTAAAAAAGGGCTCCAATGATGTAGAGGATAGCCATGAGACCGAGCCACCCTAAAGCGGGCGAAGTGACTGATTCCCAAAAGCCCTCAAGGTATATGTAATGTAAACAAGGCGCAACTGCTGAAAGGCCAAGAGAGATGAATAGGCCTACAAAAGGAAAGATTTCCTATAAAAACCACCAATGAAATAGTAGAAAACTCACTCCCTCAAAGTTCTTCACCTGTAGACTCTTGACCGATTTTATACAATTATGAAATACCGGTATTTTCGGATTTACTCCGCCAATTAGATATAGCCATTATACAGTAAGTCCACAACTACTACTCTGATTTTCTTAATATAATTGTTCTCCATATGTTGAGATTGCGAAGTTCACAAAGGCGGAAAAACCAAAAGCTTAACAAATTCTAAACAGACGAAATCGCAGTCTACCTCTTTATTGCGCTTTATAGATCCATTCCATAACCCCCCCCCCCTATTCTCATTTTCTGTATACTGGGGTTGACAATTTGCCAACTACTATGAGGTGGGGATATCTCACGACAGATTCAGTAGGGCAGAGGGTGTTGAAAGTGGAGGAAGGGATAAGTATACTGACCTGCTCGAACGCCACGGTAATTCGGTGTGGAGAATTGATCGTAGCTGCTAAGTATCATGGTGATGATGCCGAGGATTGTAATTAAACAAAGATAGATAATCTTAACGTTGGTATGGCAGTAGAAGGAGTAATGTATCCAGGGTACAAAAGACCCTATCTCGAGAATAGCGATGCCGATGTAATCAAGTCTGAAAGGCATAACAAGAATATTATTTAGTTTCAAAGGAGTTCTTCCTATTGTCTTCGACTCAAGAGTTATCAAATCTTGTAAAGCGTTACTAAAAAAGGCTGTGAAAGGTACTGCATTTCAATAGCCCAGTTAAGGGGCGAAGAACATGCACTATATAGACTGATTGAAGTGAAATTTTGGTTATTGATGACGATACATTTCGGCATCCTTTTCCCAATGACCAATACGACTACGACCGCAACACTCAACTGTCAACTGACACTAAGCCAATCTAATCCAACGGGATAGCATCCCTACGACCTAACAAATCTGAGGTATCCACCACAATTGGAACAACCTGCAAACTTTGCTCCTCTATGATGGGGACTAAAGTATAAGCCACTTAAGCCACTAATAAGAGGTTTACTTTGCCTAACTCAAGTTACCTCACCTTCCTCTCATTCCAAGTAATTTGGCCTCCAAAAAAAAATTTTCCTCCGCCAAACACCCAACTTGAACTAAAGATTGCAATTTATTATCCTAGCAACCAGGGATACTAAAGACGAAATAATTTCTAGAAAAATCTCATAAAATTATAGAGTTAAAAAGGGTTTAACAGAAGGAAACATAAAATAAAAAAACCAATAAAACAACTGAACGAAATTTTCCGACAAATTTACGGCCGAAAATAAAAATATTCAACGAAAAACAAAGAAACGGATTAGTAACAACTTGACAGGACGCAAAATCTCATACTTACGTGACCAGAACAAAATTCATGACAAAAATTGCCCAAAGTGAATTCTTTATCCGCAAATGAAATCTCGTCACGGTTGTATTACTGGCTAATTGGGAGATAGTTCACCAGCCACACATATTCAAAGTAATTTAAGAATTGGTGCTTTATTATATTAACGGAAGCCGTCGTCTTGACTACAAGTCTTTTCGCCCCCCACGAGTCCGAGGAACTATCATCACTATGGGAAATATAGTAGAAGCATAGATTACACACAAATGAAACACAATTTAAGTTGAAGAACTTTGCTTTTCATTTGTCTAACAAAACAGTAGGCATAAAAAGATTCGAGAAATAAAATAGGTAATAAACGTGATTTTATAGTCAACCATGTGAAAAGAGGGACGTTTTAGCGCTCACGCAAGATGACCAACTGACCAAATTTTAAAGGAGCGGTGTTTTCAGTGTTGGAGATAAGTGCACGCAACAAATTTAGTTATTTGCACAAATTATTTTTTGAAAATTAGGAGAAAATTTGGGACCTTTCATTTTGATGACACAACGCCACTGAGAATCGCTCACGTGACTTCTGGCTGAGCACACACAAGAATTCTCTAATTGTGCAACCTCCTCAGGTCCTCTTGACAATGCTGCATCTGTCTGGGCTCCCCATCATCTTTGCACTCAGACACATTCTAAGCTATTTAAGTACCTGAGATTGACTAATCGTCTTGACAATGAATTTAAAAAATTAGACTTGAATAAAATCATAACCTGCAACAGGCGTAACACAGAGAATTAGGAATCTAAGTTTGATTGAATAAGGAAAAGATAAATGTGATCATTCCGTAAATAAGCAGTAGTGATTTACGGCAACTTACATAATATTTCAAGGAAGGAGATAGTGATTCAAGACTTCATGCCAATTCTCCAGCGACCATCAAATGACTATCTTCATTATCTATACTGAAACACTATCGTGATCGATTAACCGTTTTACCAATTCAGTACATTTTCGATCTGTTGTCCTCGAAACTAAGAGCTCCAGGATGTCACCTACAAGAATGTAGGAAAACGCCCCTCTTCAACTAACTTGAGAATTAAAGGACTAACTTACTACAATAAAATGGTACATGACGATTAGGTGGTATTTAGAGAATATATTCGGGAAACTTTGTAAACACCCCTAGAAAGGAAGGATCGCATCGGTAAGCCGTCTAATTTCTCAATATGAACAACAAAAAACTTCTAAGAGCTCACGTATTCTTCCCACTTGTTGTCATACCAAATAGAAATGACAAAATAACGAGGTACTTACTTCCCAAATAGTTTGCCGATACGCTCGGAATGACAGGCGAAAGTGTGGAAAATCCAGGAGAAGCCGAGAGCAAGAATGGCACTGATAAAGAAGACGGATATGACGAGAATCTCATCCCAAGGCAGATTCAATTCGGGGTGAGATAGGAATGAGATACACAGCACCAAAAAGCAGACACAGCCTACAATAGAAGTTGAAGTTCATATGAAGTCAAAATAATACCCACAGAATTATTACAACAAATCTCAATCACGCTGATGGAATGATGTGCTTTCAGACCTGGCAAGATCAGATTGACTATTAACTTGTGGCTCAGAAGAAAGAACAAGGCGATTCGACCCTATGAACCTAAATGTTGCACGTGCATGTGTGCGTGCATGTTTCAACTGCCATTTTAGCCATTAGGAAATGGTCAGAACTGGATAGACCAAATTTTTCAGCTCTAGACACCATGAAAACGAAATCACTGAAGTACTCAGAGAACAAACTTCACTACTTAAAATGGAGTATCTTATGTGAACAATTTACAAATTGGATCCACAAATGAAATGATGCCAGACCTGAACCTATTCTCCTGGCTCTATTCTATCTACAATCTGTGGAGGTCGAAAGAACTTCAGTACCACTTCAGTAGACAGTATCTTGGTAATGGGCAATCAATAATAGGAAACATGTACGTGAGGAGGATTTGGTCTCCTGCCACACCTTAGGCAAGCCAGCATTGGTTATCAACTACCTTTTGCGCCTTCACCAGCCTCATTGTGTGCTTGGCCTCCGAGTTCACAGATCTTAACCTGGTGGACTACTATCTTTACATTTAATCACGTGGATAAAGGCACTAACTGTAGTGCCAGAACAACAAAAACTCAGATGAAACTAATTTCTGAGTTCCTTCTCATTGAAAGTGCAAAATTGGGTTGTTCCATGTTCTGGTGTCTGGGTGTGGCAGAATTAGGACTTTAGGCGATATCAATGGCGGTCATTTCAATTAAAACACTATAATGCTTTGTTGTAATTTCTTTTAAATATACATGATTTTGTTTTAATTAATGCATTTCTTTTGGCTAAGAATTCTGGTAAATGTTTCCCTTATATGCAACTGACTGACCTAACATGTTGCTTAGTTGTTCTATATTTACCATTTCAGATGAAGCCATTGGAAGAAAAACTCATCGCTGAATTACGAGGGGAACCAATAATAGTCGCCTGTCGGTTTCCTCTCCCCACCTTACCACTTTATTCGAAGCTTGGGTCAGGTTCCAATACCGCTTATCTCTATCTTCCAGATTTGAAGAGTAAGGTTTCTGCACCGTAGAGGAGTTTGTGTGATCAAAATCCATGATTGAAAATAAAACATTTCTTTCCTATCCTCGTCGATTATGTTCGAAATGACATCTATGGAAATCTCACTCGTAATGTTGAGCTGAGATGTAATTGAAGTTTGTTTTATGATCTTAAGTAGCTATGGTATGTAGCCACTTGAACTGACTATTGAAGAAGAGGAATAGAATTAAGATTCGAATGAATCAAATCTCCAATCTAAATTGCCTCAAGACCAAAGACGTTAGATTTATTTATATGACCATTGAAATAAGAAAAATCGGTTGATCAGATCGAGTAATCAAGGTTACTGTTAGCATATAAGTAACAAATGCCGTCAACACAAAAACAAGAAGCAATTCAAAAATATATACGTGTAAAAAGTAAGATTATGCAATGTGAACTTATCCTGTGATACCTGCGCACTGCGTGATCTCGTGATTCAAAAGATAACTAGAGAAATAAGCTCAGTTAGAAAAAAAACTGTAGTCTGTTCAACGTGTTCTTGATGGCAAGAAGAATTTGATTAAACCATTTGGTTAATAGAGTTCAAATATCACGAACATGAATTTGGAAAGAAATCTTAAAAATCAAATTTTCGAGCACTTACATATCCCTCCCCCCCCCCCCCCCATGCTACCGGATTCAAACGAAGACCAACGGATCCAAGGCTAGCAATAAACTCAAATTTTGCATTGAAGCAAGCATTAAATGTGCGAGCTACTACAGGCAATAGATGCTTGTAGCATCAAGCAATAAAATGAGCATAACAAGAATTTAATAGCAAAATAAGCACGTGTGTTGGAAATTTAAACCATGCTTAATATGATGCCAATGGAAAGAGTGAGCAAAAAAATCACGCCCCTATTGAAAATACACAAAAGAGGTAGACACACAGCTGAATAATTCGATGGCTTCAGTTCAAAATGACAACAAAATAAACAGCAGCAGCAGCACCATTATGGAGCAGCAAGTAAGGCACAAAAAATGCAGTAGATTTAGTGTAACCTACGCCATCTAACAATGATAATCATTTTTAATATTCCAAGTAGTAAACACCTGTGGAAATAAGCGAAAAAAGATATATTATTTATTCCAAATGGCAGGCGTTTTGATAATTATCATTAGCCCTTTAGTTGACTTCAGACTTCACAGAGGAGAGAAATATCAAAGTGGGAAAAAGTCGAGAGGGGGGAATAGAAGAAAGAATCACAGATGAAAAAAGACAGACAGGCACAAAGGTAGAGAAAAAGGTAAGGTGAGTATTGTGGGAGTGGTCGAATAAGATATATATATATATATATGAAAACCAGTAAAAAAGGAAATTAACTGCAACAGTCCACACAAATATGGAGTGCAGAAGATAATTATATCAGTATTTCTATTAAATTTTAAGTATCCACAACAAAGGGCTTATCTGAAATTCGAGTTGTATTCAAGCAATTACTCGTTGTGCCTTTAAGACAGGCTGAACCTCCTTCTAGAATGTGTGACCTTGGGTTTTGTATGCCCGAATTTTGGTGGGCTTCGCATTGATCGGAGGTTTGATTTCTTAACCACTTACCATGCCGATCAATTTGAAGTTTCTTAACCATTTAAAAATTTGGCAAACTTAACAAGAATATATCTCTCAGTGATATTGGAGAGATGGTTTAACCCTAGATATCTGCATTCTCGATGCTAATGAAAAAAACTACTGATACCCCGTTGATTACGATTAGGTTAAGAGATGGGGAGAGAGGGGGGGGTGTGTCAAGATAATAATAATAAAGCCTTCAAGTCAAATCTCCGTCCAGAATTTGGGAAAATCTATGAAAAATACACTCAACTCCCTAATTTTAACCTCTTTCGACTCTATTGTTTCAACAAGGCGATTTAAAATCATTCCTATTCAATACGATTGACAGAGCTACGCAATACGCTACTATCTACGGATCAGAAAGACCAATTGCAGTGGTTGTTGCTAGTCAAAATAAGAGCAGCAACAGTAGCAGCAGCATCAGAGGTGGGTGACGCAATAATCAAATTAAGCGCCTACGAAGCTAGAAGAAGTGAGGATATTGATGTTTATCTGTGCAAACCAGGTGCTCTGCTTAATTACAGCCAATAGCAGAGGTGGTAGAAAGCAAGAGTAGCTCCAAGTCAAGTGCTGTGGGTGCGTTTCTAATGCTTTTAGCAAGTTGATTTTTTTTAATTAATACGCGTGTCGAAAAATGCCCCTCAACATCAAGAGGTTGTGAATTTAAACTTCAAATATGCGCTTATTTACCAAAGGAACTGGAATTACGTTTAATTGCTATGATAGAATTAAATACTGAGCTTTTCTCCACTCTATCGACGTCTCACAATGTAGTAAACACGAAAAAATTTACATGTACAAAAGCATATAAACATGGTATAAACAAAACTTGTAGATTATTATCAGCAAATCAAAAAAGGTCTTTAACAATGCAATTCCCATTACTTTACTTTAAGACCATAAAGCAGTGAGCAATTAAAAGCTATGATTTCGAACATTCTGATGATTAAATGAAAGCCCCTCAATAGGACATATTCCACATATTGCAGAATGTAGGCGCAAAAATTAGACAACTTTATAACGCTTCTTCAATGTAATAGTAAAAGCAAACTGCTGTTTTATTTTAACATCAAATTAGTTTACAATTAATCATTTGAAAGAGGTTCGCTAAAATGATGGCCATGGTTTTAGAGCAAGTATGAAAGACGAAGAATATCATTACTACCATCTTCGTCAAAATATCAAACACCTCACGAACGAAATAATAGTGTTGAACCAACACTATTTTAACCCCAAAGAACTCTTTAGTGGCAAAGACTTCCAGTTCCTTTTGCTCCAGATAGATCAATCAATCAAACTCTTCCGCATTTAAATGAACCCTTGTTTGTAGTAGTTTTTATACATCTGGGAAACAAAATTATCCTTCTTACTTACGAAAGTACGAATAACCCACAATTTGAGAAGCACAACGTCCATTTCTTCGTATGGGAAAAGACTAGATTCTTTTATTAAAAAATGAAAATGAAATGAACAAAAATCCATAAAATAGAAACTAAATTCATTAAAACCTTGCATCTCAGTAATGTAATTATGTGCTTAAACTAGTGAATAACTAGAGTTCGAAACACATTCTATAAATAGACCAGTGTTGCTAAAAAGATGACCCTCCAGTCCCGAAAAATAATACCATTTTGTTATTGCTCTAGATATTATTTACCTGGCAATTACATAAACACCTGACCAATATATGCTGAACGTTTAGTCGAATTAACTATGCACGTGAAATCATGACTGAGTCGATCCGTCGCAAAATCAGTTGGAAAGACAAGGACTCGTGAAATACAGCAAGCAACAACTTTTAAAAGAAAGTCGGGGCAATGGATAAGTGTAAAAGAATTATACTTAAAGTAGCATCGACAGGCTATGAGGAGAAAATAAAATAGTAGTTCGTCAAACGGATATGAAGTCAGACATTATTTTCTTTCAAAATTTATAGCATATGTGAAATCCTTATCATAAAGAATACTTTTCGATCGCTTTACGGTTGTTGTGCTAAATTAAGATGAGACTCTATTTAAGAAATCCGTATTCTGAAACGACTTCAAAAAAATTCTTAATCAGTTTGGTCTGTTTTTTTAGAGATAATGAAACCCAAAAAAACGATAGGCCAACGACGCCAAAAAATGAAAACTCATGAATAAATGCGCCAGTAAATAAAATACATAAAAATCAGTGAGACTAACCGAGAAGATGGGTCCAAATATTTCCCGTCTCCGTGTGGATACGGAAGATAGAGCGGAAACACATTCGAAAAGAGGCTAGCGGGGGTCTGTGGCCCCATATGAGGAAATCATTATCTCTCATCCATTCAGGAAGTTTAGAATAGTGTACGACACGCCATCGACCAACTTGTTGCCATAATTGAATCATGAATTCCTCGGCTTGTTCCACAGCCCTTGTGGCATTCCTAACTATGCATTCTCTCGCTGAACCGCTATAGCTTGCAGAGCGGCGACGTTTGGACAAAAAGGAACCCTCAAATTCCGTATTTTTAAAAGAGGTAATATCTACTTTATTCCTGTTGAAACCTGGTGAGGTATCGGCACGAGAACGGTCTCTGACAACTCCATTAGGACTTAATCTGGTTTCCACTATATCATTTGTTACCGAAAGTGTACGAGGTCGTCGGAAACGAACTTCACTCTGGTCCTGGAAAGAGTTGAAATGCAGTGGCACTTAAAGTTCTGAACAATTTAAATGCACGAAATGAGGTTCAAAATGGTAAATGTAATCAATTCAGATAAAGCCTTGTGAAAAATGTATTTAATAAACAATTAAAAAATAAAACCAAATATTAAGAATATCTTTAAAGCAAGTCAAACAGATAATGTATATGAAAAGGTTACATACTATGATAAATAATTATGCAAGTATGGAAAAGCCATATATCGAAATAATAAGAATATTTACCCTAAATGAACCATTGGAGCCCTCCATTACATATACGAGCTGAAATATATATGATCAAAAGTAAAGAAAGTTACTAGAAAAAACATCATCAAACAAAAATATTAACACTAAAGAGTTATCAATAGCTAAAATAGTTTTTTTCAAGTTAGTACATTATTCACAATATACGAATGAATAAATGATAATAGACTAGGGCGTACAAAATCGGGCGATATCAAGAACTCAATAAAACAAACACCTAAAACTGTTGGAACTATGAAAGTATATTATACTTCTATAATAAAAAAGTCAAATGTGTAAAAGTTAAATTTTAAAATATCAGCTTTAATTCTTTTTTTAATTTTTACTACGATTGAAATATTTTATTTCCTGAATATTTATTTATTTATTTCCAATGGAAGGCGTTTCGATAGTTATCATTAGTATTTAGCTGACTTTGGAGGAACAGAAAAAGTATGAAAAAGTCGGAAGGGGGGCAGAAGGGTGATTCACAGATGTAAAAGAGATTGGCACGAAGGTAGAGAGAAGGAGGCAAGGCATGTATTGTGGAATTGGTCGCATATGACAAACAATTGGGTAATGATAGTTTGAAGTCAGAAGTCAACTGCCCTTTTTTTCGACTTTTTGTCTTATGGGTATACGCTGCTCAGAGTGCACCACGTGGATTTAAGTCTAACGCACACCCCATCCTCTGAATATTTATTTATTTATTTATATAAAATGGCAGGCGTTTTGGTGGCTATCATTAGCCCTTTAGGGAAAAAATTTCGAGACGGGAGGGGTGGGGCCGGAAGAGTGTTTCAAAGACGAAGATAGAAAAGGTAGAAAAAAAGGTGAGGTGAGTACTGTGGAAGTAGTCGAATATGACATAGAGTCGTGTCATGGTAGCTTGAAGTGAGAAGTCAATTGACAGTTAATGGATTTTTTGCCGTATGAGTATGCGTTGCTCAGGGAGCACCACGTGGAGGTAAGTCTATCCCACACCCCTTCACTCAACGTCAACATTGCGCCACTGCCCGTATTCAAACAGGCACCACCACTGACATTAATAATAATGCGCGGAGGCAGTTGCAGCCGCCGCATCACTATTCGCCTATGCACACATCCTTCCAGGACTGCGAGCATAGCAGTCCTCCGAATATAAAAATATCACTTTGAGTTGTTGAGAGGTTAGAATCCTATTTCTTATTTAGAATATTTAATTGAATCCCAGGGTCTTTTTCTCGTTGTGATGCAATGTATCCATATTTGCGCAAATCTTGAAAGAAGGATAAAATTTATTTTACTTTTCAATTGTCAAATTCAAACCAACTTTTCGAATATTGAAATTGGATATTAATGAAGTGTACTATAGGAGAATATTTTATGACGTATGTTATTCATATAAACGACAAACGCCTTGATAATTTCACTTCAAACTGAAAATTAAAGTTATTTGATATTTAACTATTGCGTATTGTAACAAGCTTACAATACGTACAACCTTAATTATTAGGCTCATTTATTCGATATAATTGCCAATATCTCGAACATAGTCTTAATTTGGGAGAGTTTAACTTGAACATATTTTTATGCGGCATAGCTCGTTATTGTAATTGTATATAGCATTCGATCGTAAGTGAATGCCTCTAGCTAAAACCAATGATAATAAAGTGATACATGCTACTATTCATTTAACCTTCTAATGGATTGTTTCTCAAACGTGGAATCGTCAAGTCCGTCCCACTTTGTCCAAATCATCACTAGTAACGTATCTATACACATATGAAGGCAGAGGTTTATGTTTTTAGTATATTTGCCAACTTGCAGAGTCGTTGTCTTGATTAATTATGGAGTAAGGCTTTTTATAAAGGGAATTGCTGGATACAATTGAGTTCTAGATGTTTTACCTTTATGGAAGACTAATTAGAATAATTAATATAAAATAGGCGCTTTATAAAATGTCAGGCACACATATTTATTATGACATCTCATAAATAATTTAGGGTTTTCTATAACACATTGCTAAAATAACGCTATACGAGGCAATCAATAGATGAATTAGGATAAGCAGCTATCAGCTAATAGTATCAGAGCGTACGCATGAGCAAAACAATGACAAATGATTGTGCGTGTCCATGATTGTCTTTTAACTAGAAACAGAACAGTTGTAAAAGAATAAAGTCCAAAAACTCGACTAGTTATGCAAATGGGTATTTGAGTCGTTGGGACATGACTTTCGGTTTAGGGGCGAGAAACAAATTAACCTCGTAAAGCATGAGTTAAAAATATGATTTTTGCAAATGGTTATTCATTTTTCAATACTGTACGCTAGATTTAAAAAAGCTTAGTAAAGAGTGAGATCGAAGTAATACTAGGAAATTTTTAAATTGATTCTGTACACCTGTTTGAATTGCACGAATTTGAATGTCTATTCACCGTGACCCAAACCTCGGTTATGGACATTTCTGGATTCATCATCATCTTAACCCACGACGATACACTACACATGACTCTGAACATTTCCGCTGGCAATTTACTTGTCATAATTCCTTAGACATACTTAGATGAATCTTGAACAACTTCTATGAATTCTTTCCAGGGCCTAACAACTACCATTGATTAGGCTATAAAACGCGTGCATGCATAAAAAATATATTCGACTGATAATGCAACTTGACCCAACTATCTTGCCCTCTCTCCATCTAGATAGGAGGATGAAAATCTTAAGGTATTAGAAATGTGGGAGGAGTATATTATTTACTTTTTGAGGCACGCCAAAAATTGTCAACATCCAATCGAATATTAGCTAAGATATTAATTTCATATCGAAAAATTTTTAGTCTAATTTTAAGTTTAAATTTACATCTTTCTACTATATCATCCATGGTTATCTATAACTATAATTTTCTATTCAAAAATTAAATGCTGAAACATGCCATCTTTTCGCGAAATATTGTTGCGGAGTATAAAGTCCTCAATCGAATAAATATTTCATTTTATTCATTTGTCCATCTAACCATGACATCAGATTTACTATTGACCTTGTCAAGGTTATTTGCAAACGTGCTAATTTTGGAATTCTTCGTAGTGATACCCATCTCTCTGAGTTTTGGCCTTTTAAGGTACCTTGTCGTGGTTGATTAGTGTTATAAAATAGTAATTTTAACAGATATTTAATATTTTTTCTATTTTAGATCGTTCTGCTTGCAGCATGAAAAGTGATGTACTTGTATTCGCAGTTACAGCGAAGCTTTTTATAGGTGCTATAATGGTAAATATATTACAACTTATTAAATTTCTAGATTATATTCAGTTTATTTCCGAATCATAAGGCAGATGCTTTTTCACCACCCGACCATTCATACATTTCACCGTTGGATTATTTTCTGCAGTTGATCTTTGATGGCTTCCACAAATGGGACGCTATATACTATCATTTTATATCAATCAATGGCTATATTTTTGAAAACACACTCGCATTCTTTCCGCTTCTCCCACTTACTTTGGGAATTATATCAAAAATCACTTATGCTTTTCCTTCTCTGTGGAGTTTATGGGTACACAATATCCTCATTGGCGTTTTTTGGAGTTTTCTCTGCCATGTCCTTGGAGCCATTCAGATGTATCGACTTTCTAAATTGATGTTAATGAGTGAATCTATTTCTGTTATGTCTGCTCTCTTGTATACTATTAATCCCGCATCTATATTCTTTTCTACTCTTTATTCTGAATCCTTTTACGGTCTACTTTTAATATCCGCTCTTGTTTGCTTAGCTGAAAGTCATTATATTCAAGGATGTTTTCTCCTTTCCCTAACAACAGCCTGCCGTAGTAATGGGATTGTTAACTGTGGATTTGGTTGTTTTCCCCACTTTATCTTCCTTGTAAATGAGTTATCTAATATCTATAGGAAGAAATTTTCCATATTTTTTGCGTTCATTAAAGTTCTCGAAGCAGTGTCCTATCGGATCTTGATATTCTTCTCTATAATTGGAAGTTCGTTATTGCCTTATCTGATTTACCAATATTATGCTGGTTATCTCTATTGTTTCACAGGACCTAAACCTTCATATTTGTCCTTTTTGATCCCCGAATACCCAAGTCAGGAATTAGTTGATTATGCTGAAGAATTAGGTGTTCTAACCCCTTACACTGTTAATGCAACTATGCACGCTGTTTGGTGCCAAGGGGTTCCATGGTCCTCTTATAGCATTATTCAAAAATACTTTTGGAATGTTGGGGCTTTCAAATACTACCAATTAAAACAGTTACCGAACTTTCTTCTTGCTCTTCCAGTGTTAACTCTCGTCTATAAAACCATTAGTCTCTTTGCAAAAAGAGCACCAAAGACTTTATTTTCGATGGGAATTTTAGCGGAAACAAGTAAACAACGTCTTTTACTTCCGCATATTTATCATATCATATTCCTATCCACCTATGGTATTGTCAACGTTCACATTCAGGTTAGTCTGATTCTACTATTGTTCTCCTACTTATATTGAGGCTAGTAGCATGTATTTACAATTTGTAGGTTCTAACTCGCATGATGTTTTCGTCTTGTCCAGTCCTCTACTGGTATTGTGCCTCAGTGTTACTGGAAGAAGATTATATCTTTACTCGAGTTTCTCGTAATACGAAATCAAAGTCAAAGAGGGCGATACAAATTCACGGATTGGATGATATGCACCATGCAGTATCTCCATCGACGTATCCACCTTGGTCCTCTAAGCGAATTCTTCTCTATTACTTTTATTCTTATATTATTATTGGCTGTGCTATGCACTCTAATTTTCTACCTTGGACTTAAGCTGTTTTCATTTTCTTCTAATTTTCGTCTTTTTTGTATTTTTAGAGCTTTTTCTTATTTTCCTTAATGTAGCTAAGTGGTTGTGTTCTAGTTACCAAAAAAGTTTTTAACTTTGTGATAAGTTGGCTGCTGTTTTCTTCTCTTAAATTATTTGACTTTTAAAAGTTGTTTGCTGAACTGAGTAGAGTTGTACAACATCTTTCCCTATCAAGGAATTCATAATTTTACTGACTTTAATACTTATCCATGATCGATATACTGGGTAAAAGGACCATTTTAAGCATTTAAGTGCAGGCCAATTGTTTAGGGTCAATTTAAATTCGACCAGTGTTTTCGCACATGATTTAGCATTGTGGTTAAAATATTTATTTTTTTGCTGGGTGAATTATTTATTTATATCAAATGGCAGGCTTTATGATAGTTATCATTAGCCCTTTAGTTGACTTCAGGCTTCACGGAGGACGAGGAACATCAAATCGAAAAAAGTCTAGAGGGGGGG